TTGTTTGCGTTTTTCATCAGAATTTAAATGGATAAAAACTTTAGGGAGTTACTTTTTCATTGGATTACTACTTTTCGTTTTATTTCTTTCATTCTCCAATATGCACCTATTCATATTTGAATAGAATACTACAGATTCAAGAAATCTACCATGTATGATTAGGTAAGAAAGCAATTGCGGGAGTAAGCTTATGCCTATTTGCCGACGTATACCTTATCATTATATAAAATAATTCTAGTGGATATTTTTCAAGTGGATAAGGCGATGACTTTTCAGTCGAAACCAGTGACTTTCCGAATCGCGCAGCCGATATCTCATAAGTTTGGTGATTTTTCTACCTAGCCTATAAACTTACCATATCACATTGGAGAAAATAAATACAAACATTTGAAAAGAGACATTGCAATAATTCAATTTCTGTGAATAATATATTGAAACAACCTTTCCAAATATATAATATGATATGGACATGAACACGCGGCAACAATATTAAGCGGACAGAAATAGTTATAAAATATCAGTGAAATGTGTTCTCACGGTGCCCATGTCAAGCTGCGCGCCTACTTAGGCGCGCAGTTCGTTTCGATCACAAACTGCGTGCCTAACAACATTGCATCATTTAAGTTGGTGTCTGTATTTTGAAACGTAATTTAAAGACATTTATCCTGCATTGTTTTCTTGTTCAATACGTTCATTCTGTGGCAAATATATGAATCTTGCAAATAATAGCAAAAACTATGTGCAAATGAATCTAAGTTTTAAAACATAAGCAGATTAATGGCATTTCCGTCACTGATTTAACGGGAATTTATACGTAAATCGATCTAGCACTTTAAGCATAAATGACAAATACTTAAGACTCGTTTTATATTTAATTCCTTTATCCTTACGCATTTATCATGTATAATTCAAAATATTTCGAGATAAAACAGATAATAGTTTAGTTTAATATAGTTTATTTTTGTGTCACAAGCAATAATATTAAAATACATTTAAAACACTTTTTTTAAAAAACATTGCTTCTAGCCGATGCCGGCTTATGAGACACCAAGTTGATACATGTGTGGGTAATATTAAAATTCCCATGTGAAAATTACTAAATGCACAATAAGACAGTGATAGAGACCATAATTTTTGTATACTGAGTTCACTGTTTACTTCCACTTACTAAGAGGAGACATGGTTGATGTTCCTGGGAGCAAATGGAAAGAGAAACCCTGCTTAATCAGTGATATAAGGGCCCTCTGGTTGGCCCAATACCCTCCTGAGGGGTCCCCCATATCACAGTGGATCTACAGGTTTGCATCATGTATATATTTTGGCAGTATCACAGTTCTAAATAGTATGTAAAAGTGCTGTAAAGTGGCAGAATCAATATCATATGGCCTTTATCCCCAGACAAGCAACTTATGTATAATTGAATATCAACAAATAGAATACAGTATGAGAAAATATGCATTATAATTTGTTATGGAATTATCTCAAATAGAGGTACTGTTAAAGTCTTTCTAGATCAAAATTTCTTTTACTGAACATCTTAAATAATGTACTTGCAAAAGCTCTCTGTATACAGGGCGTGTGCATAAGTCTAGTAAACAGCAGAATATGATCATTTGAACCAGTATCAATGCTAGGGGCCAGCTTATTAACAATAGCCAGAAATTTTTTCCTCAAAACATTGTAGTGAGAGCATTTGAGAGTGAAGTGTATCTCGTCCTCAATCTCATTAGAGTCACATAAAGCACATTTTCGATCCTCAAGAGGTGTATTGGTATAACGGCCAGTTTCAATGTTCCAGTTCTCAGTTTTGCAAGAATACTTCTATGATGGCGTGGCATAAACATTTCAATGTATGCTTCAGTTGATGCACCATATTTAAATTGGCGATATGTTCTCAGTTTATTGCCATTAGTTTCATTATTTTTATCATTCCAGATATTTCGAAGAAAAGGATCAGTAGTCTGTAGGTGATTTTTAATAGCTTTGATACATGGTTTTGTCTCAATGTACTGATTATTCAAAAGTATACCACAAGATCCAATGAAATTTTTAGTACGAGAATTCCAACTTGATTTTCTTCTTAACGACCATATATGTATCCGATTATTTAATCTGGTATTTTCCATATTGTGGAGTCGCAGATATAGTCGGGCACATTCCAATTTTTGTTTGTGGATAGGGGGGCTCCAGCCCATGTCCCCTCTGGCTCCTTCATTGCTCGTCTTTTGGCCTACTCCTAGGAATATTTTTGTTGCTTTATTTTGTACATTATTGATACAACGATGCTCATTAAGACCAATAATTGAGGTACCATAGTTGATGATTGGTTGGACTATTGTATCATATAGCTTAGTATAAACTGCATAGTCCATTCCACCTGCAGCTTTGAATTTACATGTTAACACTGCCAGGGCACGACTAGCTGACTTTGCTATTTCTTTTGCTGTGATCTTAGCATCAACATGTTCACTTAGCCAGACACCAAGGTACTTGTAGGAGTTTGCATAGTCAAGTGTTTTTGGGCCACATTTGAATACATGATCTGATCGGGGCCTCGCAGCAGGGCGGTAGTGAACAATTTTGGATTTTTTCTTGCTGACTGTGAGTCGCCATTTTCGACACCATATGTAGAGGGCATTCAGCATACGTTGTAGGTCCTCTGCAGTCCCAGAGATGAGGGCTATATCGTCGGCATAGAGTAAAATGCTAACCACTTCATCTCCGACTTGAACACCACATCCGAGTTGTTTGATAATGTTTGCTATCTCATCAACGTAGATCGAAAATAATGTCGGACTCAACAAACAGCCCTGCTTCGAGCCATTGCTGACAGAAAACCATGGAGTTAAATGTCCATTGACACGGATTGAGCATGTGACATCTTGGTAAAGAGACCTTATCGCATCGAAGATTTTACCTTTAACACCAATTCTGTTTAGTTTAAACCATAGGCAGTTTCTATCTAATTTGTCAAACGCTTTGACTGCGTCCACATAGCAAACAAAAGTGTCGAGCTTAGATACTTTACGGTTGTTAATGATACTATGAAGACTTTGAACATGGTCGAGACATCCTCTTTTTGGTCGGAAGCCATTTTGTTCATCACTGAGTTTACCATTGGTTTCCAAAAAAGTTACAAGTCTTTTATTCAATATATCACAGTAGATTTTACATGGTACAGAGATTAAGGTTATTGCGCGATAATTCAAGGGGTCTGTTTGGTCACCATCTTTGTATATAGGGTTGATAATTCCTTTCATCCATTGACTAGGCACAACTCCACTGTTGAAACAGTCCAGTATTAGGTGATGCAATAATTTGATACATGTTGGGTTTTTGAGAGCTTCAGCAGGTATATTGTCTATGCCTGCGGCTTTACGGATCTTAGCACGGTTGACAGCCTGCGTCACTTCCTCTAGTGATATACATTGATTAAGGGAGCTGTCTGGATCAGAATCAGTTGGATCAATTTCATTAACTTCTTGTTTGACTTGTTCTAAGTGTTGGTCATCAAAGCTGCTGGATTCTGTATTTTCACTAAAGAGGTTGGAGTAAGTGGATGCCCAGTGACTCAGTACATAGTCTTTATCAGTGTGACTTTCTCCATCTATGTCACGCACCTCCCATGGTATGTTTTGTTTCCTTTCATTTGCTATGCTAATTTTGTCTATATTTTTCCAGAATAAAGCTGTATTTGTACTGTATGAGTCCAGAAGATTAGCTTGCTCTAGCTGTTGGTATTTCCTTTTATGTTTACGATGGAGTCTGTCGAAAATTCGGCGCTCGATACAATATACTGACTTAAGGTGTTTACGTTGGGGTGTTTTACATTGTAACCATTCTTTTTCTCTATCATTGACTGTATTCCACTGTATTTGGAGTTCATTACACCAATAGGGTTTCTTAAATGATTTAGGTTTTTTACCTCGAGGTTTAACAGATATTTTTTCATAAACTCTGTCCATTTCAGTGGTTATTGTAGAGACAAATTGATCATAAGTGGCATTTATCCTTACTGAGTTATCAACAGTTGCACTTATACGATCTATGGCATTCCAAACTTCAGTAGATATTTGACTACTCATCATAAAATCATCTGGGGTGCTTTTCACTTTATATCGTTTATCATAAGGATGGACATGTTCTGGGAAGTCATTTTTAGACACTGGTGTTTTTAATGTACATTGCACAACTGAGTGATCAGGCATATTTTGAGGGACATTCATATTATTGCTGTTTATAAGATCAGACATTTTATGCACACGCAGGTTTGAGAATAAATCAACATTATTATGACTAGTGCACAAGTAGTCAACCACAGATCGACCCTTATGCGATATACATGTCCAATCATCATGGCCAGCTATTCGCCCATTAAGCGTACAGATGTTGGTATCTACCAAAAAATTCAAGAAGAATTCACCATATGCATTGTCAGTGATATCAATGGAGTTACGAGGGCACAGATTATCAACACCCTCAACATAATCACTTTGTGATCCTATGCGGGCGTTAAAGTCACCAGCAATGCACAGAATACCTTCATTTTGGTAAGTATATACACCTTGGGTAAGGCTGTCAAAAAAGTTACCCGGGTCCGAGTTACCAGTTGATCTTGATAGGGGTGGTAAGTATGCTACACATAAGCACACGCTGTAGTCAGATTGTTTAGACTTTAGTTTCAACCACATGATGTCTGTTGAAGAACGATCTAAGATTTCATACTTGAAATCATTAAGGATGGATTCTTTAATCAGAACGCCAACTCCACCAGCTCCACGTCTAGCATTTATATGTAGATGTTTCCTATTATTACCGACCCATAAATAACCAGGCACTTTGATCAATTCATCATCACGGAGAAAGGTTTCGACGAGGCATAGAACATCCAAATCTAAGGCTGATATCACAGATTTACGAAAATTCGAGTTTTCATTTGTTTTTACAGAAAACCCATTGAGGTTCCATGTACCAATGGAAAGCTGGCATCGGCTGCTGTCCTATGCACGTTTCTCTAAGAGCCTTCCATTCACCATACTAAAATGTTTATCGTTCCCAGTAACTTTGAGTATTTTTCGAATATTGTCATTTACTTTTTTTTCAGATGGAGACATATAGTCCTCGATATACACTTTGGAATATTTTCCAGAATTTTTTAGGGTCCTTTTTGTTTTCATAATATTTAGTTTGTCATCTTTTTTGACTTTAGCTGTGACAATTCCTGGATATCTTGATCCTGGCATTTTTGTTTTCCTGGATACATGGTTTATATTTATGTCCTTTAAGCCAAGTCCATTACTGAACAGATCTTTTACTTGAGCCTCATCACTGGTTGTATCAGACTCTACAAGATTTTTCACAATTATTGAGCAAAGATCATCACAGATGCCATCGTTATTTGACAGTGTTTGCTCAATTGTCGATATTCTTGTCTGTAAAGTGGACGTAGCAGATACAAGTTCTGATCTCAAATCAACATGTGTCTTTTCTATCTTAGCATCCATTTGATGTAAAATACGAGTCTCCTGAGCAGCCATTTCCTGTCGTATGTCAGCAACATTATTACGAATATCACTGATTGAGTCCTTTATAAAGGTGAACATCTGTCGAAGCTCAGAAGCTGGCATTGATTGTTCATGGTTAGGCAGGGGGCTCTGCCTGTTGCTTGCTGATGGGTCGTGGACAACTTTGATGACATCAGACGTATCAAGATCAGTAGCATCAGACCTGAAACAACATGACCCACCCTCGGCCTCCAACGCCATGGGTGTACCCGGGGAAGCCTGTCCTTGCCGAGGGTGAGCCCCTCTGCACGGACTGGCATCCCTGAGTACAGCTTCCATTGCGTGGTAAACCTTCGGAGATTGAGCAACTGTGTGCTTCAATATTTGACCAGTTTTGATTTTAGTTACAGTTTTGTCCTTCTTTGTTGACTTTGAGGCTGTATTTGTTTTCACATTTGTTGAATTTTTCACCACGGGCGCCATTTTGTCAGGCAAGATTGGCATAAAAACGTTTTTCCCTGCTGAATTTCAGCTTATTACCATGTATTACGATGACTTGTGCCTCCTCCAACCGTTCATGGATATAGTGTACCAGTTAAAATATGTGTAGATCACTAAAATACTACCTTAAATACTAAAAACAACGAGATTTTTCACAATTTTTTAAAAGTACGACTATGCAGTGAAAATACGAACGTCATCTCTTCAGGAGATCAGGATCAGGATCAGGAGATTAAAAAGAAATAAACCACAAACTGCGCGCCTATTTTAGCCAGAAATTACAAACTGTGTACATACACTATTAAAACTACATATTATCATTGGAATTTCTACAGAGGCTTGTGTAGGTGTTTTTCATATACGTAGCTTTGGAAAGGAAGAGGCTCGATAGAGAGAGCTTTTTAGATGGGTATAAGTTTTTTATTATTTCGATGATCAATATAAAATTGTAACACAATTTAGGAGATGAGGTGAATTTTCATATTCTAAAATATTATTTCTGAATCATCAAAATGGATTTTTCTACAACCTTTTTGGCGAATCGATGAACTCGTTTTTCAGGTTTAACCCTTTCTTTGTGGTTAAATATAATGCCCTTTATATAATTATAGAAACAAAATATTTTGTTTCTAGGTCTTATAATTATCTAAAGTCTTACATAATGTGGACACATATTTGTTTAACTGATCAGAAATATTTTTTTTCCCCATTCATCAATTTTTCCATGTTAAAGTATAGGGGGGCTGAGATCCCCGGGAATTCCTGAGGTTTGACCCATTATGTTATGGTTTTGAACCGATGATAAGTTTATAGAGGGAAATGCTGTTCCATCGAATTATTTGATTTTGACTGAAATTAACGCATTACGTTATTCACACTGGGAGCTACAAAATATTGGGTTACGGATTTATTAAAACGTACCTTTATCTCGCATTCTCGGTTTACCTGCGTATCATGATTTATGATCATGATTTATCGTTTATGCTTTGCTCACATAAGTTCAGATTCACCTTATGGGTGCCTACCGATTACGGTATTTTTCAACTGCCAACCGATCACCGGCAGACGTTGCGCCGGGAGAATTTTCACAATCAAAATGTAAATTACATTATAAAATATGTATCAAATGAAGAAAAGGATGTCCAGATGGGTGCTGTTCGGCAATTGTAAGATTATAGTGTTGCTTGTAATATCATAAGTTGAAGAAAATTGGGTTCTTGGAATACATGTTCGTTAACGTTTTGATTTTGATTGTATATATTTATAATTCATATGTAATATACGATTGACTGTACTTTGAAGAGGAAACAAGTATTTTACCAATTAATAGAAGAATTCAAAAGCTCTAGCGAAGTAACCTCTTTAGTTTATATTCGCCAAAACGTAAAACGATAGAAAATCATATATTTTTGAAACATCGCTTATTGGAACCATTTCACTTGTCGACTAACTTGCGGTAAGTTAGTTGTACATGAACTGGGCAGGTCGTAATATCCCTATTTACCAGTTAAAGACATTCGACATGTTATGACCGAAATAATCAGTTACGATCCGTAGTATAATTAACAAATCCAGTGCCACGGAATAAATAACTTGAAAGTGGTGATAAGCCATTCAGGACTACTTAGATTATTCATTTATTTTATTTTTCTAGTTTATTGACGGCCATTTATGTTTGTTAAACATTTTCATCATATAAATATGTATCAAAATGTTTTGGTCTGCAATATTTCTTATTTAATAAATCTTTTTCAAGCAAATGGAAATTGTTATCATAATTCCATCTGAAACAATGGAACAATCATATAAATATGAAATACAGGTATTTTACAGATAAAGTATAGTTAGCGTTGCTGCAGAAATAGGATTAAAATTCCAAGCGGGGCTATTATAATACATATTATTGAAAAGGGAAATCTTAGACTGGCTGAAACTTATGTTCAAAAGATATATGAAGAATTGCCCCTAATTGAAATTGCAGCATTTTAAGAACTTACCAGGGTTTATCTATTCAAAACTAGCTACAGTTCATAAGATGCGAGGCATTTATAAAATAGTGAATCAATATTAACAACGAAAGCATATCTATACATTACAAGGATGGATAAAAACATTAATGCCTGGTGTAAACGGGTAGGAGGTTCTATCAATTATGGTCCTACTCTCCATTGATTTATATGGTGACCTAAACTCTTTCCCTCATTATGTTATACGCAATCTGGGCCAATAAGGGCCGTTAAGAAAGGGGACCATAATCCCTGGGGGACCATCATTTCTTTCACACCTGGTCACATTTGCTCAGATTTATCGGCCGGCGTCCGGCCGATTGAGTATCCTGCTGACAATTGCATTCAGTTTTGAACAGAATATTTAATCTGTCGGCCGCCGGGCAATGAATCGGAGCAAATGTGGGATAACCAATTAACGAATATCTACAGACTGCTCATCTCTTGTATAATGGTACTGTATATGTCTATGAATTCCGTCTAAAAGAAGACGTTCTCTAAAACTTTCTAATGGAAATGTATAGGACTAGAAACACAATGCAAATTCACGTTTATGCAATATAATTTCTTTTTTATTAAATTCAATCTTTCAACACTTTATGGAGCTGTTACGTTAGACCACGTGGGCTCACCGTTCGCTACAGTATGGATACGTTTTGCAGATGGCAGGGCTAGACATGGACATACGGTTGGCTAATCAAATAGTTTTAAAGCAGGATATTCCGAACGGTGAGCCCACACGGCCTAGTGCAATAGCCACTCATTACATTTCGATACTCATAACATCCTTCTGTTTCAACCGAAACTTGCTTTGATTTTATTAGGCATATTCTGTGATCTGAACACATCAGATGGGATGTGTTATAACTGTCAATAAGTGTGATAGTTATCATATACCTTAATGTCAATCCATTACATAATAGGCATTGTATTCAACCACATATAAATTAGCAAAGGCACAGATGCACAGTTTTAGGACTGGAGAAGAAATAAGATGTCATGATTTATCAGGACTCATTAGCTATTTAACATACTCTATATGTTAACATTATTATTGTATTTTGTTTCAATTCAAAAATTGAATTCAATTAATTTTAGTTGTACAATGATCACTGGTGATCCGCTCGATTACGCTGGTTACCGAAACGGTTCGTTTTGGTAACAATATGTCGGACATCGAAGGTACGATTTTTCTTTTTCCTTATTTCACGCGTTGTAGGCAGAATACCAGCGACGTTTTTGTCACAAACGTGTATCAGCATCATATGTTTTAGAAAATGTACATGTTTGCGAAAAAATAGCTCAGAAGACAACAGAATCGTCGATTTAATTCCTCACTTAAGTGCAGATCTTAACTGTTTTTCGAAAAACCGTTTATGTAACTTAAGTGAGAAATTAAATCGACGATTCTGTTGTCTTCTGAACTATTTGTTCGCAAATATGTACATTTTCTTAAACATATGATACTGATACACGTTTGTGTTAAAAATGTCGTCGGAATTCTGCCTACAACGTGTAAAATAAGGAAAAAAGTAAAATCGTACCTTCGATGTTCCGACATTTTGTTACCAAAACGAAACGAATCGTTTTAGTAACCAGCGTAATCGAGTGGATCACCAGTGATGATTATCCCCGAACAATAACTCAACTGAGTCTACATTCAGCGCTTTATCGTATTCTATATGTGTTATTTTTAGTACCATCGTAAGTACATCTGTGAAGCCCCGTTGTGTAGCCTAACGTAGCTACTTGTACAATCACTACAATGGTAACTTTGTGAGTGTCTGTAAATGCCATGATGCAATATAAAACACTGTAAAAATCTGATAATTATTTTTGATTACTATGACAAGTAAAAGATTTATAACACTAACCTAAGTAATGCATAGTTTTACACATCTACATGCACACATTCTACTCGAATGTTACTATTTGAGATAATTCTTTTCGAAGCGATCGTACAGTCTTCATACATTGGAAGAATCACAATTTAGCATTGTTTTTTATGATTATAATAGATATAAATATGATAAGGTTAATGACATATCAAAATTCTTGTTGGAGTGGTCAAAATCATATACTCTCGATAAACTTTGATAAACGATTTTTATTCATTATCCATGGAAGACAAAATATGGCATATCTACACCCTGATGTGGTGTTAAATTCATGTAGGCATATTATGTACATCTATATTTATGTTGATGTGAAATATAAAGTTATGATATTGGTCAACATGCAAAAAATGAACAAAAAATATATATATCGAAGCGTATTTCGAAAGTTTTGAGGACGACATTTTGTTTTTCGATTTTGACCAATCAGAAACATATGTCATCTCAATAGGGGTTTACATGTTCATGTTCTCTACCTGGGAATGAGAGCCCATAATTCAATTTTTGAACTACAAGTTCATAGAAAAAAGAAAAATCACAAATATGAATACAGTTTGATTATAAGTCTATTGGAATTTTCATCGTGTTGATTTTAAAGTCTATTACAGAAGTTACTGTTATGTTTACCACACTGGTACCAGTTAGTGGTATGTTGAATGGTATGAGTTGTTGAGTTTCACCTTCACCCAGATCATGCAGAATATCAACACGGCGTTCCTTGTAGAAAGTAGTTCTTGGTTTGTCTTACATATGATAGATAGTTAGATATGATAGGCAATATTCTCCTTTGACAAGATGTGACTGACACAGTTTTGTGTTGGAGTGTAGCAATATGCGGTGCAATCATACCATATCTAACATCACATAACATGCTCATCCCCGTGCTCATCACAGAAAGATGTCAACACGTATGCCTCTCCATTAAATAATTCTTTTTTATATGCAGTATCTCGACCCGATCCTATCTGAAATATAAGAAATATATATAATCAAGTTACTTGTTGTATTTCCCATAACTTATATAAACATCCATGACCAATATTCCCATTCTATTGATATTGTTATCGTCTCGGGGTACCATAAATCGAAACAAGTAAATCCAAAATCGCAAGAAAAGATAAAGCTTGAAACAGGAACTACATGTTTCAAGACAGCTTGCAAATCCTATGGTTTTTCACATGATGAAATGGAAGAGCTAAAACTTATTCAAACATACTAG